GTTTTTAGAACTATAAATGTTTTCATTATTTTCAAAATGAGTGGTCATTCTGAATGCATGAACAAATGAATGAATGAAAACAATGAAAAACAAAAGTAAAATATGCAAGTAACACAAGTTTCTCTCTGAATATCAAAGAACTATAGCAAGGAATGCCGCGCACTGGGCAGGCAAAATGCCGCGGTGAGGGCATAATTGCCGCGCTCCGTAAAAAAAAAATGCTGCGGTCACGGCACCTTGCCGCACTGCGACTGCGGGCTATCGAGAGGCATTGCGGTTTGATTTGGTCCAGGCACACAAATCAAGGGAGATCACTGCAATAGCATCCAAACTGAGAAGAAATGGGTCGGTCATGTGACCACACATGCCATTCATTTCATGTTTTCTTCATGCACAAGGGTCACAGCCACTTGACCTCATGAAACTGCCGCGGTCTGGCACATCGACTCTTGAAGACCTACACCACACTGAGTGACCCCGGCGGCCCACTCGGAAGGTCCGGCGTAATAGGTTGCTGATAAGATTCGCATCTCAGAACAGATGCAGGACAAGAGTTAACTATAAAAATGGACTTGAACTTTCCGTCAATTCCGTGACTTACCGCAGCTTTCGCCAAAGTGACGACTGCATCTTGACTTGCAACTTTTACGTCAGGGTCTGTTTTGATGATACTCTTTATACGAGAAAGAGGCAGTTTGATCAACTTATCCTGAGAATCGGTCACAGTTATAGATCTAGCTGAATCTTCAGTGGAGGATTTTTCTTGACTTTCTTTAACTACAGTGGCACTTTCAGAGTCTGCTTCAAGATCATTTTCTATCGAAGCGCCAACTCTATCTGGTAAACCCGCCATTTTGTTTGGAAAAATAATGTTTTCCAGAAGCAGAAGATGTCAGAAATAGATTTAGAATCTTAAATTATTTTCATTCTGTGAGAGTCCGTTCAGGGTAGGAATCTTTGACTTTGCAGGCAAATGAGCTCTAAAACTGTCTACTGCTTGAGGGTTGTTGATGAAGTGATGATGATAGGCCTAAGTGGTGGGGTTCAACCCGGTTCTGTGTAAAATAAAAAGGTGCATTCAGGCTGAGGTACACCCGCCAAGGACGAAGTTTGCCTTTTGTTTTAGAGGACCTTTGAGTATCTGGGTAGCAGACGCTGCACGCATGTTATTCATTAAAATTCACCACGTGTGTCAATGATCATAGTCGATAGATCTACTGAATTCCTGATTCCAAGACTTAGAAAAAGTCATTTTTACTTTTTGTGACTGGGTACCAGTCCCAAGCACAGTTTAGAAAGAGAAAAGCCCGAGATCAGAAAGCCACCTAAATCTAGATTCTAAGTCTGAAGTAGAATTGCCCTAATAACTTTACTCGTGCAAGATCAAATTAAAAGCCCTACAAATTAACTAGACTATCTAGATTATAAAGACAAAGAGTGAACTGGGGAAAACTCGTGTCACTTGTGAAAATCAAAAGTGACGAAAGGTAAGACTCCGGTTTCCTTGGTCTGAACGTCTTAAAACTGTCTCTGACTCTACTACTAGTCATAGAAGAGTCTGTAGGCTTACTCTAGAACTTAAAGGACCAATTAGTCTATTAGATCTACGCCTACCTTTATAAAACTTATTAAAAGACTATTTAACTAAGTGTAGAGTCTAGACTCTATGATGAGTAGACTAATTGAATTCTAAGAAAGAAGAGCAAGGTTTGGCGCTTTTTCGGTAGACTCTAGTTCCCACCCCGCAATTGTCATTCACCTGTTTTGGCCACAAGAGTAGGGTGTTTCAGGGCGGGGGGGCGGGGGGCTTGCCCCCCTGCCCTTTAATAAAAAATGGTGAAGGGTTTCAGAATTTTATCGTAATTTAATGTTTTGACTAGGCTCAAATAAGGGGGGTGGGAACTACCGAAAAAGCACCCAATGGAAGGTTTTGCCTTTGACATTCAGTTTTGTTTTTTGTTTTTTTGTAGAGAAACGAAAGTAGAGAGAGATATCTGCTCCTCCTGTGCTTCTCTTTATAGCCAGGTTAGGAATGCCCATTGGGGCTCCCTTGTCTAACCAACTGATCGCCAGACTCGTCAGCTGAAAACAAATGAGTATTTAATTGTTTTTGAGGCGACGGGTCAGGTAATCGGTTTGTGCCACGATACCCGCTTTGTGCCCTCAATCTGGCCAGCAAACCGAACCGAACTGATAGTTCCTGGTGCCAATGGGCACTGGGTATCAGATCCAGTGAAGGACAGGTGCATGATGTTCACACTGATCACTATACTATGGATACAATGGCTCTGATAAGTAAACTCTCACAGGCTTCAGGTAGTACACGGGAATGGGCAAGCAAACCATGCACCACAAGGCATCTAAATTTAAACTTTAAAGTTTTTAAATTGTGAAGTAAATGTTTTGAAAATAAGTTATGCTCAACACCTAACCTCTGATTCTGAATAGCCAAAAGGTTCCACAGCACGTGGGTCATAGACTGATGAAAAATTCCTCACTTTTTCCAGATGCCGAAAGGAAACAGGCGACTTTATGAAAGGCTTATAGCTGCTGTCCAGCTACGGGAAGAACTCTACAACCCGCAGAGTCCAAATTATAAAGATAGGAATCTCTGTGATGCAGCGTGGATCCAGGTGGCTGAAACTGTGGGACTTTCACGTAAGAGCAGAACTTGGATTGTCAGCCTGGGCTTTTTCTTGCTTAACTAGCGCGATGGAGTCCTCCTGCTTAAAATTAAAAGTTATGCTGTAAACTTTTGGGAATGTAAACATTGACGACGGAAATTCTGAAAAATGGAATTTGAGCTGGGCTTAAACAATTTAAAAAAATGTTTTTATGGACAGATGGACTCCATTTCACAATTTTCTGGGAACTGGTGTAGGGGGACAAGATGGGGCAAACATTTTAATCTGTGTAAGGTATTATTGAGGTTCTTTTATAGTTTGTCAAGCTACTGGCACGATGTTGTTGGTGAGGAAGCTTGAACGACAAAAACATTTTTTTAACTTCATGGTTTGGTGTTGATGGAATATGCACACCTTACAAGGTCGTTTACAGCTGACGGAACAAGGTCATTTACAGCAGACTGTAGAAGGTCGTTTACAGCAGACTGTAAGGTCGTTTACAGCAGACTGTACAAGGTCGTTTACAGCTAACCATACTGATTAAGTCATTAACAGCAGACTGTACATGCTAAGTCATTTACACCAAGACTGTACAAACTAGGTCATTTACCGCAGACTGTACTAACTAGGTCGTTTACAGCAGACTGTACTAACTAGGTCATTTACAGCAGACTGTACTAACTAGGTTGTTTACAGCAGACTGTACTAACTGGGTCATTTACAGCAGACTGTACTTACTGGGTCATTTACAGCAGGAATGTACTACAGCCAAACTCAGATAATAGGACAATTTTTCCCTGATAAGCGAGTCCTGTTATTATCGTTTTCAAGGGAAACTACCAATTCCATTGCATCTTCAGGTAAATAAATAATATATTCGATTACCGGAGATCCTTTTCCAGTGGGCTGTTTTGCTGACACTGAGATGGAATCAATCAGTGACCTCAACACTATGGGGAGAGGAGGGGGGGGGGGGGTATGTGTTTGGAAGTTTGTGTTTAGGCAAGCGATCAAACAAACAGATGAAGTGTCTTGGTTGAGACAAATTTTGATAATTTGACGGATCAAAAGCGAGATCATGAGTTGCAAGATCACTGTTCATCCGAGTCTGCGCAACCTGAACCCTGTTATAGCCAGATTCATATATATTACTTACACTTATAGAGAAAAAAAACTGGGATTAGATATTTATCACTGTTATATATATATATATATATATATCCAAGTTATAAATGGACTGGACTGCATTTGACCTTTTTGTTGTTGCAAGTAAACATCCTTGTTAGTACTGTCTTGCGGTAAACAACTTAATAAACATAGTTGGCTGTAAACGACCTAGTTAGTAGTCTTGCTGAAAACGACCTAGTGTAAGTGACTTGGTGACGCCTTCCTTGTTTCCAACAAGCGGTGTTCTGCAAAGATACACTTAAAAAAGCATTCTCAGCACAGGACATCACCCCTTACCTACACAGGTGATGCCCATTGATGGGGCCAGTGAGTCATACACTGGTATCTACTCCATTAAGACCCACCCCCTCTCGTTATGCCACTGGGGCTATATCCCCTCTTTGTCGTTACTACAGGATCAACTTTAGATCAATGGAGATATGAAATTCAACGAGGACCATCGGCTGGCCCCAACGTGGCCCCAACGATCTCGTATCACGAGGTTTCTGGTACAAAAGATGATGATGTCATTAGGTCATGTAATCATATTTTGTGGTCTGTAAGTTGTCAACTAATTTTTTGATTGTTTAATATACAAAGTGTCAGCAGGTAGAGGGAAATTTCCTGATGTTGTATCCACGCAGGGAATAGAAGTGAAGTTTTTCTCATTTTGTATCGATGCTAGAATGAAAGTGTTTGACATGTCTGAGGTATCCAGGTGTTATTTTGTCCATTCTTGCTTTCTGTTGGCCTTCATATGTTCGTTTGTGTGTATTGAAATATGATATAATGCTCCATGGTGTAATAGTTCTTTTTCTATTGTGAAATGTTGGACAGGAGCATTACTCCCTGTCTCATGCAGATCAAGTTATTTTGATTGTGGCAGTTGTGGTTTGGGGAAAGGAGGGGGGGAGGGGTAAACAACTGGGTCAGTGAGGAAACTTGGCCAGGGAAATAATCTTAAATAAAATCTCTAAACGTCGACTTATTCTGTTTTTTAAAATGACATGTCCCAGATGCTGATAGTGAATGAAAGGTGCTGGTCAATTTGACAGTCTAATGCGATGTTTCTGTTTTACTTGTTTGTTGTTTTGTTTTTTGGTAAGAGTTTTACAGCACTTGCAACTACATAAGGTCACTTGAGCGCTATTCTACTTGGCGGTGTACCACCCAGACCAGTCTGATGATTGGTCCACTTGACGGTCTACTATTCTGCTATGCAGGTGGTTGGCGGGTGCTCTGTTGTGGTTTGCTCCTTCTTATCCAACATTTATCATCCTGATCTCTCCTCTTTCTTTTTTGTTTTTGTTACTCTCACTCTCATGCAGCACCTCTTATCTTTTTTGGCACTTATACTTTATTGTGTTGCTAGTGCTGTAAAACTTTTATTAAAATTAAAGAATTCTACAACAATACACAATGCTACACATTTCCGCTCTGCATTTATACACAGACTTGGGACTGACACTGGTTGCATTTAAAGTGTTTTTAGTTCTGGAAAAGAACATGAAGATGTGATTTAGGAAGGTAATGAACATGTCGGGCGGTTCCTGCCTCCAAATCTCCCAACAGAGTTTATAAAGGTAGGAGTAGGAGTGAAAGTGCTACTGGTAATGCCTCTTTTTTACTGAAGGGTTACGGTTAGGTTTAGATTAGGGTTATCAACTGTCACAGCACCTATAGACCATGGTTAATTGGGCTGGACTTACGATAGAACAAATCGCAATAGACGGCTAGGTGAATTGGCACTGAATGAACTCTAAAGACAGGCAGAATGTCCAGGTTCCTCCTGTGGGAAGTTTCTCTTAGCTTTCTCCTGTACTGCGAGTACAACGGACTTGTTGCCCTCGACATGAGCGGTGCGGGGAGACAACTGTAACCATGTCCCTAACGTGAGCTGTTTTCTCTTTTGTTTTCTCACACTCCCCCCTGCAGCGGCCGAGGCCAAGAAAACATGGGGTACACTCAGGTCCTCCTTTTGCCGATGTCTCAACAACGAGATTCTCAATTTTGGGTCGGCGACCTCGTCCCCAATGACTAAGTGGTACCTGGCCGACCAGATGGGCTTCATGCGGCCATTTGTCCACCGCTGGCAGGCCAAGGGGGGATCGATGGGTGGCCTGTACGCTGACGGGCTGGAAGAGGGAGAGCTGCCAATCGCCTTCAAGTCAGAGCTGCCGGAGGAGGGGAGCCTGTACAGCGCCATGGAGGAAGCTTCCTCCGTCTCCACGGCCTCCTCCATGCTCAGCCAATCGGATCAGCCGGCCGGCCTGCCGTGCCCCGAGCCTCAGTTCAAGAAGCAGAAGACGGACTGCACGCCCACGGAGCTGGACATGCTCAAGCTGCTCAACACGAGCGCGTCTGCTCTGAGCCCGGCCTCCCTCAAGGAGGAGGAGGACCCCGACCTGCTCTTCTTCAAGGGACTCCTGCCCACCTACAAGGAGCTGCACCGCAAGCGGCAGCGGAAGATCCGCCTGGAGATCACCAAGATGATCTACGCAGAGGTGGAGGAGCAGGAGCAGGATGAGGAGAGGCACAACTCGTGTACGTCCTTGATTCACTCCTGATTGATTGAGTGATTGTCTTGAGCGTAATTGATTGATTGTCTTGTATGTGATTGATTGATTGATCGTCTTATAGATGATTGATTGAGTGGTCTCGTATGTGACTGATTGAGTGTGTACCACAGTGTGTTTGTGTGTGTGAGTGTGTGTGTATCTGTGTATGTGTGTGCTTGATGTGTTTGTGCTATGAAGTGTGTGTGTGTGTGTATGCTATGAAGTGTGTGTGTGCTACAATGTGTGTGTACTACGATGCATACATGTGGGTGTGCTATACTGTGTGTGTGTGTGTTTTTAGGGTGAGAGCCTTTTGGAATGAGAAATTGTTCCTTCCATAGTAGACAGCCCCAGTGCTGTGAGCATTGTCCGTGTGGTTTCTGAGTGTTGGGAGCCAGGCTGTTCACAAAGGCCTGCCTGAATGGGCCTTGTGTCCCCAGTGACAAAGCTGTCATGTTGTGCTCCTCTCCAACACGAGAAGGTATTCTTGTCCCCTCAACCTCTGTGGGAGTTGGCAGGTGCTCTGCTGTGATTTGCTCCTTCTTACTTGTCAAACATCTGTCATCCTTATAAATCTATCCTCCTTCTTTTCTTTGTATACTACTCTGTGGTAACACCTCTAATTGTCACTGGCATCTGTGGTGTAGTGGTTAGGCGCTTCGCTATCACATGCAGAAGACCCAGGTTTGATTTCTGACTGGCGTTAAATTTTTATCGCGTATCTCTGTCTTTCTGCTGATACGTTGTGTCCCTCTCTGTCAGGTTAGCTTTGACAGACAGGGTAGGAAGCCTGCCACCTAAATGATCTAAATTCTGTCGAAGAGGGGTTTAATAACTCTTACATTAAAAATAAAAGAGACAGGCGAGATAGAAGCCACTACATCTGCCATTTGGAAACCTTTGAATGAACTTAACGGCTGGGTACCGCTGGGTACGGTCAACTACAAAGAACACGTCCAAGCTACTCTGCAAACTTTTCAGTTGTGTGGTGGAAAAAAAATCTTTGTTCTCTGTCTGTGTTGTTTGTTGTTTTGACTAGTAGTTACAACTGTGAGTACTTCGGCAAATATGGTTGAGGAATAGAGACCTTTGCTATTTGAGTCACACCTTGTTTTTGACATTTGGAAAGTAAGACAACCTTCTGTGCACGCGATCATGACTCAAGGACTGTGCAAATTACTTCAGTGGACAGTAACCAAGTTATTGTTTTCCTATTTTTACTTCATAATGAACTAGTACAGTTGTGAGGGGTTGGTGGGTGCTCTGGTGTGGTCTGCTCATTGTTTCTTATCAAACATCTGTTATCCTTTTCTCTCCTCCGGCTTTTGTAATACTTTGTAACACCTCTCGTGTTTGGCACTTGTATGATCTAATTGTGTTGCAAGTGCTGTAAAACTCTTTATAAAACTGGTGATCCTACTTTTTCTTTGGACGTAAAGTTCTCCTTCCACCACTTTCTGACTGGCACCCCTACCCCACCACCCCCACCTTGCTCCCATCCCCACCAATTTCCCCCACACAGCCATCGTCTTTTATTTTGTAACACACTCTCTTTCCCTACCCTACTTTTCTCTCTCTTTCTCCTCTTCTCTTTTACCTCTCCCCCTCTACCTTTCCTCCACCCACCCCATCTTTCTCTCTCTCTCTCTCTCTCTCTCTCTCTCTCTCTCTCTCTCTCTCTCTCTCTCTCTCTCTCTCTCTCTCTCTCTCTCTCTTTCTCTCTCTCTCTCTCTCTCTCTCTCTCTCTCTCTCTCTCTCTCACTCTCTCACTCTCTCACTCTCTCACTCTCTCACTCACTCACTCACTCACTCTCTCACTCTCTCACTCACTCACACACACACACACACACACACGCACACACACACACAACCTACCACAGCCGCTCCACTCACAGTGTTTTCCCTTATCTCTCCACAGGTGCTGACAATTCTATGGTTCCTATAGGAGAGCAAATTTTGCATTGAAGGCCTACCCTATCCCCCCCCCCCCCCCCCCTTCCCTTCCACTTCACTCCCACCTTCTCACCCTCTCTCCTTCCATCCCTCCTTCCATCTCTCCTCTTCTTCCCTCTCTCTTCCATGTTCCCTCCCTCTTCTTCTCCATCTGAGATTTCCTCCCCGCCACCTCTGCCCTCTACCTTCCCCCTCTCTCACCCTCACACTATTCACTGACGTGTGAATAAGGTGAAGCGGGCATGGATCTCCCTTCCCTCCCCCCACCTGTATTTAGCGAGTCACTCGATGGAGGTGTGTCACATGGTGGAGGCGTGTCACACAATGCAGGTGTGTACCAAGAGTGGACACAACTCAGATGTGAGCTCAGCCAAATGGGAACAGCTGATTGTGTTGGTGAGACAGGGCAGGGAGGACCAGGACTAGGAGCGGCTGGTGAGACTTTGGAGAGAGGACGAGGGCCAGACTCTGTCCTGCTGTGGTCATCGACCGGTCAGTTGAGCATCGTGGCTGAGAAAGCCCAGGCTCTGGGCTTCAACATGACCTCTGTGAGCTCTTTGCTGGCAGCGATTGAGGATGTGTGTTTGCCAAGTTGTCTGCTGGTGTTTGAGCGCTTCCGACTGTCCAAGCTAAGGAGAACTGGCCGGGAATCCTTTCCTCGCTTCATCGCTCGACTCGCCCAGCAGGTTCATCTGTGCAATGTTGGTGAAGAGGAAGAGAAGGTGTTTGCCCGCATGGCCGTGGACAACTTTCGGGAGGGTGAGGATTGTGGACTTTGTCACCATCTGATTGTCAGCGGTGAGCACAGCATGGACCAAGTCTGCTGGACAGTGGCAGACGCGCACGAGTGTCGGACTCATGGTCACAGCCAACCTGGCGCTAATGACAATCTCCTCACTCGCCAGTCTAGTCTGGACTGTGGTGGGATCCGAACCTGTACCACGGGCAAGTGTAGCAAGAGGTTGAAATTAGGAAGTGTCATTGTGTCTGGGGACACGTCCGTGCCTGCACCTGGCCACAGGGGGACACCCGATGGTGGGCTGGACATTGTTGGGGGTGAGGCAGGGGGCGTCCGGGGTGTTGCGTGTGATTATACTAAAAAACCTGGCAGAGACTGTACTTCTTCTTGTGACAGTGCCACTGTTCCGGTTCCTACTTCCTGCAACAATATGACGTGGGGTAAAGCCACAAATGTGGACACTGCTGCTGTGTCGTCGGTGCAACGCGACTGTGCACACGCGTGTAGCTATTGTGACAAACGGTTCAAAACGGCGTCTGTACTGAAGCGCCACCTGGTGTGCCACTCTAGCGAGCGACCCTTCTCCTGCCCCACGTGCGGGCAAACACACAAGCGGGCGGCACAGCTCCGAGTCCACCTGAGGACACACGATGGGGCCCGGCGAGACTACAAGTGTGTTGTTTGCGGCAAGACGTTCTTTAGGAAGGACCACCTCACGACCCACGCCCGCACACACTCGGGGGAGCGTCCCCACTCCTGTGTTGCATGTGGCAAAACCTTCACTCGTCTCTCCTCCCTGCATGCCCACCGCGCCTCGCACCGACCGGGGCGGTCCAGTGTAGAGGTCAAGTTCACCTGTGACAGGTGTGGGCGGTCATTCGTCCAGCGTACGGCCTTCAGCGACCACCTGCGTCGACACACAGGAGAGAAGCCGTACGTCTGCGACCAGTGCAGCAGACGGTTTTCTTCCACCGCCTTGTTGAGGCAGCACAGGCGGCTCCACTCAGAGGAGCGACCCTTTGTCTGCGATGTCTGTGGGAAGTGCTTCCGGCACAACCAGACGCTGCACACGCACAAACGCACGCACACGGGCACGCGGCCCTACATCTGCCCGCTGTGTGGTGCTGCCTACGTCTACGCGAAAAACCTCAAACAGCACCGAAAAAGTGTGCATGGCGGGGGAGACAAACTGGCCGAAGCTGCCTCATCCGCACCACAGAAGTAGGACAAGAACAGGAAGTGCAACAAAATTCTTTTGTCTCCTTAATATGTGCTATATTGGAATTTAATTTTCCCCCCACTCTCATGAGACAAGTATATAATTATGTAATAGGATTGTGTAAGGATTGGGAAGTTGTGAGTGTGGCTTATGATCCTCCACCTCTCCCATTCCCTCATCCCCCCATTCCCCC